AGTCACTAAGTTATAGTTTCTCAGTTCCAACCCCCCTACATTCAGATGCTGGGGGACTCTGCAAACCCCATTTCTGCTTTGCTAACTTTCACGAGGGGTCAGAGGCCAGAGGAGGAAGAGGAAGGAGAACACACTCTTCCTGTCTGTGTCCTGTTTCTGTGAGCAGCACCCCAGCCTCGTGGCTGCACCCCACAGCAGCAGTGGAAGCCAGCGTGCAGTCTTCACGGCTCTTCAGAGCCAGCCACCTGGTGCTCACTCAGAGACACCAGCCCCAGCCGGCTGGAGCCCTCCACAGAGCCCCGAGGCTCCCTCCTGGCGGGGGGGGGGGGGGGGGGTCCTCCTCCAAGCTTCTAAATTTTAATAATTCCAACTTCTCGCTGCTCCCCCAGGCATAAGGGGGATAGTTGCTTCCTACAGTTGCCACCGTCCTGGTACCTTAGCATTTGCTTTCTGCCTTGGCACCTACCTAGATAATTCTTTATATCGAATTCTCTCTGTTAAAATAACTGGGGGGTTTCTGCCTCCCAATTCAGCCCTGACTGATAGATACTCTGGCAGAGGTGGGATCCCAACCCAGGTCTTCTTTCTCCCTGTTCAAGACTCTGCATTGGGGCCAATAAATGTTTGTTCAGCTAAAGGAATTAGAAAAGTTCACTTCATTCATCAGTTCTAATTTTAATAAGATGTTGTTAGGATTCCTCACCACCACCACCAAATTACCACCTAATTGCAACCTAGACCTCCTGTCATCCAAGTGTCAATCTCTAGCATGGGCTACTAGAATCAGGACAACTATAACTCCAGCCCTAGCGTAGGGCTTCCCAACCTTTTAACATCTTGGCACACATAATATGATCACATCTATATAACCATTGACTTGGGGAAATGGACAAAGCTGCTTGAGGTCTCATCCATTGTCCAGGCCCCACTGGGCCACATCGAGGGGTGAGAGGACTGAAATTTTGGCACAGCTATAATCTGTCTGCACACCAGTGATCCACGGGCATACTGTGGAGAAGTGGTGACCTGATCGAATGCCCTCATTTTTCAGATGATGAACCTAAGAAGCAGAGAGTTTGGGTAACTTGCCACAGGCTAAAGAGCTCCAGCTGCCAGCTAGGGCATCTCAGTTCTCCTCCATCCTCCAGCATCCTAGCCTGGGCTTATTCACAACACTAGCACCAGAATTCCTCTTGGGAAAGAGCAGTTTTCATTTGGGAAAGAACTTGATATAATCTGTGAAGGTGTCAAGTCTCGGTTTGAGCTAAAGCTCCGTAATAAGAGATGGTTTCATTGCTTCCTATGTGAAAATGAGACCACAGTTGTCACTCCGCATCCACGGATTCAACCAACAGAGGATCAAAAATATTCAGGGAAAAAAAAACTAGTAAAAATAATACAAACTTAAAAAAAATACAGTATAACAACTACTTGCATAGCATTTACATTGCACTGGGTATTATAAGTGAATTGGAGAAGATTTAAAGTATACAGGAAGATTTAAAATATACATGGTTTATATGCAAATACTACATCATTTTGTATCAGGGACCTGAGCATCCATGGATTTTGGTATCCACAGGAGTTGGTTCCAGGATCTTGTGGACACTGACAGATGAATGTAATTGAGTTTTTCTTCCTGAGGTGGAAGGTCAGAGAAGAGGACAGAGGTCAGAGAAGAGGACAAGGGCAGAGGAAGAAATGGGGGAAGATGAACCTGGGAATTGGTGTGAGACAGAGAACGGCAGGGGTGAAGGGCCACTGGAACTGCCTCTAAAACAGGCGACTGAGGACACTGGGATAACGGGAATGCCTACTGTCATGCTGAAGTTGTTTTCTTTGCTGTAGTGCAAGCCCTTCTCTCGCTCTCCACCCCAAATCTTTGGTAAAACGTACTACATTCATGAATACTTTGTGAGCACCTTGTTTTGCTTTGTTTTGTTTTTGGCAAGGGCTGGGGGTGGGGGTCGGAACTTGAGGAAGGGGCTGAGCTTTATTTGTATCTGGGTCAACACAGTACAGAACAGTAACTGCATAAAGTAGGAGCCTGAAGGCAGAGGCCAGAGAGCATAAGCCCTTGAGAATTCTCAAAAATCTTGGGGTTGACTCTAGAGATCTACTAGACATGAACTTGAGCTTGAGTGCAAAGGGGCAGAGAGACCCCAACTGACACCTGGGTGAACATGTATTTACAAACTTAAATAAAACCCACAAAAACAAAATTGGGATCATATATACTGTAGTACTCTTTTTGAAACTCGATTTTTTTTTTCATTTAACAGAAACATGTCAAGAACATTCCCCCATGCCTACAACATCATATTTAATAGCTGCCGTGGACACTAAGTTGTTTCCAAGTTTTAGCTGATTAAAAACAACTACCTTATTTGTTACAGTTTGTTTTTGTCTGGGATGGTTGAGGAAGTTGCAGAGAGAAGTGGCCAGAGGTCGGCCCAGACCTGCCCTTGGTTAGATCAAGCAGGAAGGTTATTAAAACCAGAGAGTTGTAAATAAGGGACGGACTTAAGGGTGAGCTCAGGTTGGCAGGATCAGAATAGGGACTGAGGCAGCACAAGCAGCTGGGGTGGAGAGCTGACAGAGGGCAGGTGAGCTGGGACCCAGCGTGGCTGGGGGAGGTGGTAGGGGCTGTAGCCAAACTGGGGCTGGAGGATGACTCCACAGGCATGGAGGCTTCTGGTGTCAGGAGAGCTCCCCAGCTTGCACTGCCTTTTAGTAGGGAAACCATGTTCTAGGATGTCTGAAACAGGTCTTAAAGGGTCTAGCTCATGAGCTGGAATCTGGTTCTTTGGGGACAGAGGCCAGGTTCCTTTTGCAATGTTGCTTTCCAAGCTGTGGACCTCTAACCCAGTACCTGGGATAACCAAGGACTCTCTGAGTCTGCTTGAATAATTTTAGTGATGGGAAACTTACTGCTTCTTGAGGCATCCCATCTGGATAGGGTTATACTAGATCACTGGAAAGTTACTTCTACTGCTCCACAATCTAGATCCCACCCCTGATTCTCCAAGGGCTCTGAACAAGGCATGGCTAGGTAACAGTCAGTGGTGAGGCCTGAGGACCAACAGGGGGCAAACTAGTTTACTTTATGGATCATCATCTTAGTTTGGGCCACAGACCTTTGCTCAAAGGCCAACCTAAATTGCTTTGTTCTAGGACTACACAGAATCAGCATGCTTCCCATCTTCATGGCTGATTAGTGGTAGCTGACAGCTAGCCAACCCATAGATGACCACAGACACATGAGGGATCCTAGCTGAGACCAAGAGGGCCACCCAGAGGAGCAGCTGAGCCCAGCCCAAATTGCCAACCCACAGAATCAAGAGCTAAAGAAATGGTCTAACAAGAACCATTAAAACAACTAAAGCACCAAGTCAGGGGTGGTTTGTTACAAGTGAAAGCTCATCAATAAGATCTCCCCAGAGGGTCCATTCAACCTTTCTTCACACCAGCATGCACCCAACTCTGGCTGGCCATTGTGGACATCTGTGCCTTCCTTGGATCACAAAGGATGTCACAGGAGGGAGAACTGAGGGATGATCAAATAGAAATGTCATTTCTATGGTTGAAATGACAATTTACAAGCATGGCCCCTCACCTGGTGGCCACAAGTGTCATTTTGGTCTATGCCAGATTTGGTATATGGCAGAGTGTCATTGGTTCTCAGAGGATGTCATCCTCTCTAAGGACGAGGCCCTGAGGGTCCCATTCTGGAGTAGCAAAATGGAAACATGAAACTGCATATTGATTTGGAGTAAAGGATCTCTTTTCTTTCCTGCTAAGATAGACTTGATGACACATTCAAATATAAGGTCTGCCTTACTCACAATTTCCACGCCATCCCTCTTGGCAGATGAGATTAACAAAAACTATATTTCTCATGAAAACAAGATGTTGTAACCCACAAAAATTCATACATCAGTTTCAATCCCAAAGCTAAACTGTGCTGTCATTTTTGGAAATTAAATACAGTATCAAAATAATTGGGAGCTGTGGCCTTAAGGGAGGGTGGAGGGAGGATGGAATGAGGGGTAGGAAGGCTGTTTCAATGCAAACAACACGACCAGAGATCTTGAGTGCAGAAAGGATGATATCAGTGCCAATTACATCAGAGCCAAGATATTCCCACAGATGAGACATATGTTAGAGCTGAGCTAAGAAACTGAAGATATTTGCCTTCTATATGACATTGCAGGACTTTGCAAATGCAATCATTAGACCTTACAGAAAGTTTTAGCTAACATCAGGCAATTTTATTATTTAAACAGAAAATAGCTTTTTAAAACCTCTGCTCCCCAGACAAGCTTGTTGTAAATTTATCCTTTAAAAGTTAAGGGTAATAATTATTATTATATAATTTAAATGTCCTTAGTAAACAGGAGTGTGTGAAGTCTGATTTGGGCAGTCTATACTTCTTCCCAGAAAGAGCAAAATCATATTTGCTGCTTTTAAATTAGCTTTTGGGGTAGCTGAAAATAATAGAGGCATCTGGCTACTTGCCTCCCAGTGGTTCCTCCCACAGTGATGTAAACAATTAGAAGGGGAAAGTAAACGGACACAAAAAGCAGGCCTTCTATAACTTGAAGACAGGGAATAAAAACAGAGAAGTTTAAGCCCTCTTCGAAACAACTGTGCATAAAAAGAGAAAAGTCAGAAAATCCCAGAACACAATTTCTCAGGCTCCTGCCCTTGCCTTACCATTAACGTTTGTAGAGGATAAAGGCACAGTTCATTCCCTAGGAAAACTGCAGGGAAGACAGAAGGGAGCTAATAAACGGAGCCCAAGCTGAGCTAGAATTATTGTCAGGATAATTAAGTCCATCCTAAGTCAGAAAATCCTTAAAAAGTTGTCTGAGCACGTCAGAGCTGGGGTGGCATGGAAGAGATTTAAAAGCATGGGGGAATTTAAAGGGACAGGCACAATTGAAAGGGGCAGACTTCAAAATGTGTGGCTTCTGGGGAGAGAAAAAAAGCAAGAAAAGATGGGAGAAGCGCCCTATGGCAACCGGGTATTGAATTTGGAAAAGAAGAAGGATGAGTACTTCAAGGAAAGAGAACCACAAAATCAGAGGACGCAGAAGCCCTCCCGCACCCGACCACAACGAATGTGGCTTCTGCTGTACAGACAGAACCGAATGCTGTAGGATGAGTACTTCAAGGAAAGAGAACCACAAAATCAGAGGACGCAGAAGCCCTCCCGCACCCAACCACAACGAATGTGGCTTCTGCTGTACAGACAGAACCGAATGCTGTAAAATGGACGGCAGGAGGATCAATAAATCCATACGGAGCTATTGCAAAACAGAATCAGGAG